TTTACCTTTACACGTTGTAATTATATATCTTGTTTTGCAAAAAAATATTCATGCACTTGATAAAAATTTCATTAGCAAAAAATAGCGTGTTTGTTGTTTGATTTACCTTAAGTCCTTAACACATTTTAATTATATATCTTGGTTTGCAAAAGATATTCATATACTTCATCAAAATTTCATTCTTTTACAGTTTCATATTTAGTTGATTCAGTTTATAATTTTTCTCGTTCTAATTATTTCCATATTCTTGTAGAGGCCCATCTACAATTTCATTAAGGTGGTGATTGTTTGCACTAATTTTTGGTTTTTAGATGTGGTTTTAGATTTTGGTTTCTGGTTTTTAGATTTTAGCTTTTTGTTTTCGGCTTTCAGCTTTCGGCTTTCAGCTTTTGGTTTTTAGTTTTTAGATTTGGTTTTTGGTTTTTCTGTATATTTAGTTTTTCAAACAATAATCAATACCTTGTTTTACAATAATATTTAAAAAATGAGATATTTATATGTTATCACTAAAATAAAATGCAATAACATGTTTTTAATTGTTTTATTTTTAAATATTATACTAAAATATAAACAATATTTTTTATAAATTATAAAAATTAAAATACTTTTAAAAATTTAAATTATATATTTTCCAAGATATTTTATTTTTAGGATGTCAAAATGTCTGTATTTTTCAATTTCGTGATTCACATGCAAGTACAGTGGGCTAAATTGAATTGTTTTAAAATATAGGTTTCAGTTTGACAATTTATCAAAACTCATAGGGTTATTTGAACAGAATACAAAGGTATGTACAGTAATTAGGTCAGCCCCGTTTTGAAGTAAAACAGGGGTAAAATCGAGAATTGACAAAACCCTCTTCATCTCGCGCTTATAAGTACACATCGCCGAGACTAGGGTTTAATCAATGTGCCTATGAGAGATCAGAGCAGCGAGTTTCATGCTGTTCTTGTTCCGTTGCGGGCATAAAACGAAAACCCATTCATCTTTTCTCCATTTCCTCTTGCAAGTAATGTTCTTTATTGCAATTTGGGAGAAAAGATCGAACATTTTTTTTCTGTCATTTTCGTTTTGTATTGATAGGAATCTTGTTCGGCAGATCCAATTGGGTTCTTGCGTTTAAATTTTTATTCAAGTTCTCAGTTTCACCAGGCCTAGATTCGATACCTAATGTTCAGGAGCAGTCTCTCTCTTTCAGTTCACAAGTTCTGTTTTGCCTTGTCTGAAACCTGAGAGTCTGTCCTAAATGTTGTTTTGTATAATATTCAACGGACAAAGTTTGAAACTTTTTGTGTTTGAATTCTTCGTGTGGTACATTTAGCATTCTGTTTTGTTTGGTTTTTGGTGAAAGTAGCCGACTTTCTTATCTGATTCCGTTGAATCCGTTAGTGATAGTGAAATTATAAAATTGATTAAGGGTTTAGTCAAAGTGCCTATGAGAGATCAAAGCAGCTATATTCATGCTGTTCTTGTTCCGTTGCGGGCGTAAACAAAAACCCATTTATCTTTTCTACATTTGCAAGTCTTCTTCGTTACTGCAAACTAGGAGAAAAGATCGAACACTTTCTTTATATTGATTTCGTTTGTTTCTTTGGCATGTTTGCAACTATGAAAGAAAAGACAGGATTTGTATATGATGTATAGCGGAACTGTAAAAGTATTTGGAACAGGTTACTTGTTTGGAATTGGTGGAAGATGTGGAACTGTTTAGTGCTCTCTCTTCTCCACAGCTTCGCTTGAACGCATTGTGTCCCCCGTCTTGTGTTTGTTGTGTGACACCCTAACTGTGTTGTGCTCTATTCTAATTGAAAACTATCCCTGGGATTAGATGCGGACAAAATGAAACTACAGAAACCAAATCTTTTGTCCGAGGGATAACTTGTGTATCACTTTTTATTGTGTTGAAATCAACTTCGGGAACATGTTTCAGAGATAAAAAGTGGCCAACTAGTTCGTGTGAAACTAATCTGAAACGATTCAAATAGGGCTTAAGAATATGATCCAATCGTCTGAAATATGTTTTTGATTCTTTTGCAAACAAAGTTGACAAAAAAAAAAAAAAATTCTTTTGCAAACACAGCTCTACGAATATATATTAGTGACAAGAGAATAGCACAGTTCGTACATTGAAGGTGTTTTATGGTCAGTGGTATTACCATCTATACTATTATTTGCGAAGTGATTTTTCGCAACGGAGCTCTCACGTTAAAAGTTAGAGTGGTTAATATCGTCTATACCCTTAATGAATAAATATATAAATTATCCAATAATAAAAACGAATTTAATATTTATTTGATTAGATCAATGAGTTAAATTACTAACAATGATAAGAATTATCCATAATCTAAATATATATTTAAAAATAAAAAAAAAAGATAATTCCTATATATATTGTGTAGTTATCCAAAAATATATATTTAGTCAAAAATTCAAAAGCAGAAAACACATAAATAAATAAATATTCATAATGAAGTGATTTTTCGCAATGGAGCTCTCATGTTAAAAGTTAGAGTGGTTAATATCGTTTATACCCTTAATGAATAAATATATAAATTATCCAATAATAAAAACGAATTTAATATTTATTTGATTAGATAAATGATTTAAATTACTAACAATGATAAGAATTATCCATAATCTAAATATATATTTAAAAATAAAAAAAAAAGATAATTCCTATATATATTGTGTTGTTATCCAAAAATATATATTTAGTCAAAAATTCAAAAGCAGAAAACACATAAATAAATATTCATAATGAAGTGATTTTTCGCAACGGAGCTCTCATGTTAAAAGTTAGAGTGGTTAATATCGTTTATACCCTTAATGAATAAATATATAAATTATCCAATAATAAAAACAAATTTAATATTTATTTGATTAGATAAATGATTTAAATTACTAACAATGATAAGAATTATCCATAATCTAAATATATATTTAAAATAAAAAATATAAGTCCTATATATATTGTGTTGTTATCCAAAAAAATATATTTAGTCAAAAAGTTCAAAAGCAGAAAACACATAAATAAATATTCATAATGTAAAATTTTTAATTGTATATAACTGAAAATAGAAAATTAAAAAAATTATAATAAGTAATTATTTTCAAATTAAAAGAATATAATAATATAATATAATGATAAATATTTGTGAAGTTATTTCCGCCTTTGGGCTCACACGTTAAATTAATTTTTTTGTTATATTTTATATAATTAAACCTTAAACATGAATTAATCATAATAAAATAAAAGATCATTCAAAAAGAAAGAAAAATATGTATTTGACAAAAATAAATTTTAAATATATTGTATTATTATCCAAACTAATATTATTCTTTCTGTAAGATCAAATTTTGAATGTATATTTCTGATTCAATTTTTCAAATTGAAAGATAATTTCTATATTTTTATCAATTAAGAAGAAAGGAAATAGACTAGATTTTTTAAAGCTTAAAAGGAAGAAGTAGATTTATTTTAATTTGTAAATAACTTTATCATGTAAAAAAAATTAATATTTTAGGTTAAATTTTTTGGATGCAAATAATCATTTATTTAGATGATTTTTCGCAATGGAGCTCTCACGTTAAAAGTTGGAGTGGTTAATATCGTTTATACCCTTAATGAATAAAATATATAAATCATCCAAAATTAAAAACGAATTTAATATTTATCTGACTAGATAAATGATTTAAATTACTAACAATGATAAGATTTATCCATAATCTAAATCTATATTTAAAAAGAAAAAAAAAAAGATAATTCCTATATATATTGCGTTGTTATCCACAAAATATATTTTGATAAAAAAAAATTCAAAAACAGAAAACACATAAATAAATATTCATAAAGTAATTTTAATTGTATATAATTGAAAAGAGATATTGAAAATTCATAATACGTAATTATTTTTAAATTATAAGAATATAATAATATAATATAATGATATTTATTTGTGAAGTTATTTTTCGCCTCTGAATCACACGTTAAGATAAATTTATTTTTATATTTTATCTAGTTAAACTTAAAATATGAATTAATCATAATAAAATAAAAGATCATTCAAAAATAAAAAAAAATATGTGTTTGAAAAAAATAAATTCAAATATATTGTATTATTATCCAATTAATTTAAACTAATATTATTCTTTTTGTAAGATCAATTTTGAATGTATATTTATCGATTTATTTTTTTAAATTGAAAGATATATTTTTATATTTTTTATAAATAAGGAAAAATTAATTAGACTTTAAATTTTTTAAATTGACTTAAAGATAATTAAGCCCGCATGTGCGGGCAAAACACCTAGTTAAAATTAAAAGCCTATTATATCACAAGATTCGAAAGATTGAATCTCATCTGTAGCCACGGCAATGTGGGAACCGGTTAAAAACCTATCCCTGCACAATTTATTTAAAGCTTTGTGGATTATTTGTAGAAAGAGAGTGCTTCACTGCTAAATTTTTCTTTTTATTTGACAAAGTGCTACCACTGCTAAATTGGTGTTGAAATAATAACATTTTTTTTAAAGTTAGTTGATAAAATCGTTGATAAAAATAAATTGTTTAAAGTTTCTAAGAAGAAATTCATGGCATTTCTGCCATATAAATAGAAGAAAATTCCATAAATTATAGCAAGACAAAATAAAAAAAAATATTTGTAAGAAAACTAAACACTAAAAGTCGTTGAAAACCACACGTTGGCAACAAAAACATGGACAAAGTGTCTGTTGTTGTTCGAAAAGCTATTTTATGTTGATTGTTCTGTTTAACTCGCCAGACACATCAATCAGCAAGACAAACAAAAAACGAACACGCAAATATGTTTTCATCTTCAACACAAACTCCATATGCTCAACCTAAGTTGCACATACTTCTACGGTATCTTATCTAATGCAACAAGTGTATCTTATTATTACAAACAAACTCCCTAGAGCTTTTTATTGGCTTTTGATATAATATATATAATAAAAAAGAGAAACAATGGCGCTGAAGATTTTTAGTTGGGTTGAGAAGAAGGCAGGTCTTGTAATCCACATACCATGTTTGCTGGTACTGCAACATCAATCATCTTCGGATACGCCAGATTCAGATCTATTAAGGGCAAAGACTACTGTTATTATGAAACTAAAGAAAGTTACAATACCTTAAAACATATACTAGGAAGAAAGAAACGTACTTGACATGATGGATTTGAATGTGTCTTTATCTTTAGTTAAACGTGGATTGTGTTGCATCTCTTCTCCAACTGTGCTTACCTGAACATTAGCAGAAAGGTAGTGTAAAGCCATTGTATGTATGAATCATATTTTTATTTTTGTTTTTGTTTTGCGTTACCTCGTAGCCTTTGTAGTCATGAGCTGGGTAGATCAATGTGTCCTTTGGCAATGTAAATATCTGGTTAAAGATCAAAACAAAAGCTATTTTTAATACTAAATTCTTCAAAAATTATGAATCAATTTGCCTATTGAGTGCTGAGATAGTGTGATCAACTTGCCTGTGAATGCACAGACTCATAGAGTTGATCCGAGCTTCCACCCTACAAACAACAAGTAAAACATCATCAGAGAAATTAAAACCGATACAAAACACAGACCTTAAGCATTAAAGTTGCGGTTCTTGGTTCCTTATAACAAGGGCCGATCCTGAGCATAGGCTAGTGAAACATTGGCTTATGACTCCCAAAATTTTAGAAACTTAAATTTGTAAAAAAATTATATATATAATCCCTTACTAAATTGTAGCCCCAATATCTCAGGACCAACCGTGTTTATGACTGATGTTTCTATGCATCAACACAGAGAGTTTTGGATGTTTATGCATTCACATTGCGGTTTCAGGTTCTTTATAACCCATTTTCTGTGTTTAGTGTACCTGAAAGTCAGTTCTCCCACAACCTCGGATCAGTACAGCATCCCCTGTAAAAGCCATTCTTGGTTGGGGCTGATCTGCTCCCTCTCCAGTCACATATGTAACACATCCTGCAGTATGTCCCGGTGTAGCACGGACCTGCACCAAAAACACAAAACCATCATTACTTCTCTTAACTTTCTTGTTCCTCACTTATTATACCGCGGTTTGAAGTTTAGTGTTCAAACCTCGAGGTAGATATCACCAATATATACTTTCTCTCCATGTTCAAGAAACTTATCAGCTTTGGAACCACTTGCTTTCGAGATTACAGATTTCACACCTGGGAGCTTTGTCTGAAACAAGAAACAGATCACCGAATCTTCAATTTGAGCCAATATAAACAATCATATACAATAAAAAAAGGAACAGACCTTAAGAAGACCAGTTCCAGTGACATGATCAGCATGAACATGAGTGTTCATAGCATAGACAAGCTTCAACCCTAACTCATTAATCAGCTTCAAGTCTCTATCAACAGTCTTGTCCACAGGATCAATCAACTGTTCAAAACACACACACACATACGACTAAGACAAAAACATAAGTTACAAAAACAAAAACATGATCAAACTGATCCAAGTTCCCAACTTTACCGACAAAACACACAATTTCTCAAAAACCCATATCGAAAGAGCAAATCTTTACGAAAGAAAAGGACCTACCAGAGCTGGTCTATCAGGATGAGAAACGTCGGCGAGGAGATAAGTGTAAGTCGAAGATTCTTTCTCGAAGAGTTGACGGAAGAGAAGCTTCGAGGAGGATGAAAAAGAGGAAGAAGAACCCATCACTGATCTGGTAAGAGGATGACGGAGAACACGAGATTGATGGAATCTGGGTTGAAGGAGAAGAAGATGCTGGAGACGTGAGAAACGTGTTGTCATCGCCATTGTTGTGTTTTTATAAGAGCTTTTTTTTAATCACCAAGTGTCGACGTCACCGTTTTTTTTAACCAATTGAAAATATGGTGGGACCCACGACGGATTGCAATTGCAGTAACTAATAATGGAGATTTGGATCGGATTGTGAAAAAGTTCTCCATGATTGGCGATATTTGGATTGAGTTGAATGACGAGGCACTTTCGAGGAAGAGGGAGAGACTTGAGTCATTAGGCCTTATTTTATTCTATTGGGCCTGTATCTATCGGCCCATTTAAAGTAAATAAACGTGTGCCGACAAGTTAATCTGGGCCGAACTTACTTTTTCTGTATATGTCAACGGTCAGGATCTTCTTTCATGATTCAACGTGTCATGGACTTCTAGTAGGTCTCCTCATAAGACCATACTAATTGGTGAGAAAAATTTCGATTGATATATTTTAGAACATTAAAAAATTATCAACTACTAAAATACTGTAAAGTTTACAAGAAAAATCGATGGAGTCGACACTAGGTTTGAAAGTGAAAATAGGGTGTCCGCTTCTAGTCATCGTGGTTTCCATTTTGGGCATCATATACTCTTGTCGCAAAGTTTTTTTTTTTTTTTTTTTTTTTTTTTTTTTTTTTTTTTTTTCTCTTGTCGCAAAGTTGACCGCCAAGACACAGAGACACATCAAAAAGGGTTAAATATATGGTTGGAATTAAAGCTTAGACGGCTAAGAAGCAAAAACCAGACCTGGCGAAACTTCCTCAAAAAGAAACAACAAAATGTTAGGTTATCAATATCCGGATCCGAAGAACCAAACCGAACCCGATCCGAAAAAGTAGTATCGAATCCGAACCGAAATTGATTCAATATCCGAATGAGTTCAAATTTTTGGTATTTAAAGAATCGAAACCGAACCCGATCCGAACCGAAGTATTTCGGGTACCCGAATATATCCGAAAGAGATTTATATACCTATATATATTAGTTATTTTTAGATTTACTGTATATATAAAAAACATTCAATATATATAAAATACTTTGAAGTTATTCAAAATACTTGTAAATATATGTAAATATATGTAAATAGTCAAACATACATGTCTAAAATTACTAAAGTACACTTAAAACATCGAAAATACTTAAAATTTTTATTGATTCCCAATCCAAATATTCAAATCAAACTAATTTATATGTTAATTTTAGGCATTTTGACTTATGTTATTCAATTATTTGTAATATGTTATTTTCTTTATAGATTTTTAGAAATGTAAAGTATATAATCAATTTTAAAATTTTAAAAATAATTTAAATGGGTTATCCGAACCCGAACCGAACCCGCAAAGATCTAAACCGAACCCGAACCGAAATTTAGAAATATCAGAATGTGGCTAAAATTTGTGAACCCGAAAACCCGAAACCCGAAGAGATCCGAACCGAATCCGAATGAGTACCCGAACGCCCACCCCTAGGTTATCTAGATCTGGCAAACCGAGTTACTCCCTATGACTTCCCATATTAACATGTTGCTATCACCATTTTAAGAATCACCATTGACGACAGATTATCACATGACCACTAATTTTAATAATACCTAATGTATTAATAAAAACATTTACTCTATATAGCTAACATGAGGAACATGTATCAACTAATTCATTAAATAAACAAGTTAAAAGTTACAAACATGTAGTTAACGTAACAAACATGTATCATCGGGAGGTTACAGATATGTTTGGGTCTGTGACTTGTATCAGAAATAATGTTGAAGAAGAAAGCAAGTTAAGTTATAAAGAGAGAAACCTATTTTTCGTGTGATAGGTGGTTGTGTTTTTTCTTATGGTAGAGCTCTTGTTGTTAGTGGATGACCAACAGTCAAAGCCTAAAAGTACAGAACATGAGAAATATGGTTTTGTAGTAGATGCTCTGTGATTTTTCTCATGTCTTTTCTACTTTTCTATTTAGGTATTATGTTATATAGAGTGCTTATCTAATGGAATTGTTTTTTTTTTTTACAGGATGGAGATACAAATATTTAGTTACAGATCTTCCACCAGTTCGTATATTTCATCTTGAGAGGTTTGAATATAAGCTGGGCGCAAAAAATGTTGGTACATTTTGGTTCATGTAGTTATTGACATTAACTTTCTCATTTTTTGTGATAGGTGGTACTGCTTCAAAATTCTTTAAAATTCGTCGATAAATATTGAAGTAGAGATATGTTTACATCTTTCCCACATTACAAACTCAATTTGTAACATACACATTTCAGAAAAGAATACCGTTAAGAATGACAACGAAATTAGTTTGAAAGGCAAGCAATAGTACACAAAGTGTTCAAGCCATGGTGGTATCCTTACCAACAGTCTCTGTGTCTTGGCGGTCGTCATCTTTGAGGCAAGAGTATATGATGCCCAAAATGGAAACCACGATGACTAGAAGCGGACACCCTATTTTGACGATCAAACCTAGTGTCGGATCCATCGATTTTTCTTGTAACGAAAATCTGCTTTTTCGATTCTTGGATAGAAACAAATGATCATCGAGCGTTCTGTATATATACAATAAATATTTTGAAGATAAGTCGTTTTCTGACTTTGTATTTGCAAATTTTGAACTATACAATACAAGTTGTTTCGTTTAACGTCAACTTGTAGATATTTTATCATATTTATGACAGATTTATGGAACTTATAGATTGGGTATAGTATGTTTTTATACTAGTTGAGACGTGTGGCTGACCCATTCTACTAGTCGGATTGTCTCAGTCTTTTGGTCGAGTACTCAGTTTAATCATCTCTTATTTATCTTTGAAGTATATGCTTTAGTATTAAAATTCTACATAAAAAAGATGAAGTCAACCAGCATAAAAAAAATACATGTCACTTTCATGACTTCTATTTTTAGTAGTATTAAGTATATTGCGCCCTAATTGTTTTTGCCAGAAAAAAATATATTCCTAGAGTATATAGTTTCTATCGTTGAATTAAAAGTATCATTAATGCGACAACAAAAGAATATACAAAAATTTGTTGTGTTGCATATTTAAACATGTATCGTATGTAGCAAACTATGACAATTGATCTAACGACAATCAACAAAATTTGGCCCTAAAATAATTTATAAATTTGCAGACTCCAAGCTGATGCTTTACGAAAGCGTGGGATACAGCCACGGCCGTAGCCGCATCAACATTGGCTGGTGGTGGTGCCACTGTGACCAACTTTCGGAAAGCAGAATTGATGCCATGAAAGAATAAAGCCAATTGCACTAGTTAAGCCGCTATATAACAATTTTCAAGTGCAAGGTCTTTTTGAATAGATTATTGTTTATATTATGATTTGATTATGGTAAATGCTCATCATCTTTGTCTAATATATATATATACGCTGCCCATTGATCTAAAATATTATGTTCTGTCTCTGTATTTGATTATGGTAAATGCTCATCATCTTTGTCTAATATACATATACAACTTGTTTCTTTGACCATTGATTTTCTTTGTTATTATAATTTTTTTAAGGGAATTAGTTTCATTATATACTAGAATATGTCAGTTATGCTAGTTTGTGACAGGGCTGAGACTTTTTATCCGGGATCCGGATTCGATCCGGATCCGCTCCAAAAATAGGATATCTACGGCGACCGAATCTAAATTCGGGTAATAAAATTTCAGATCCGTGCAAACCGAATCCGGATATCGCAATTTTCAGGTCCGGATATCCGGATCCGGATCCGGATTTCTAAAATATATTAATTTTTAGTTTTATTAATAATTATATTTGATATATCAATATTTATACATAAAAATTAGTCTTATAATATTATATCTTAATTTTCATAATATTATATATCATAAATATATTTATAAATTGTGTAATTATATTTAATTTATATATTTTTTGTATGTTTAAATATTTTTTTATTTTTTATTTTATTATTTTTACGGATCCGAATCCAAATCCGGATATCTGTGGATATTACAGTTTCTAGACGGATATCCAAACTCCGGACATCCGAAAGACACAAATCCAAATCCGAATACTAAAATTACGGATCCGACGAACCCGGATTCGGATCCAACGAATCTGGATCCGGATCCGAATACTCTAAATTTCCCGGATATCCGGATCTGTCCCACCCCTAGTTTGTGATGATGGGTTAGTGACTGACCCGTTAGACTTGCGTAGTTTGCCTCAATCTTTAATTTGATTTGTGTTTTTTTTCACATCTATAGTTTGAATATGCTTTACAACATTTATAACTTAAGATTAATAAAAAGGATTAAAGCCAAACAACATACATACATGTATAGATGGATTTTTAAAGTTAAAACCTCTCAACTAACTTTATTTTGGGTAAAAATTTCTAAATTAAATATTTAATAGAAAAAGTCTTTAAACTAATTTTATTTAATAGAATAAACTCTCTGTCTACAGTGGATGTTAAAATGACCATTAATACTGGTAAATCTTTAGTTTAGGCGTTTTTACACTAACTAAATATAATTGAAGTTTTTTACCACTAAAAAATTAAAAAACCAAAAAATTGAAAAAATAAAAATATAGTACCTTTATCTAAAAATTAGTAACTTGAATTTGCACCTTCAACATTTTAAAAATTTATGCAAATATGTGAGTATGATTTGTTTTTAAAATCAACATTTTATATGTAGAAACTGAATATATAAAAAACCAAATATATAATAAAAATTATGTATTTACCATTAAGATATAAAAAATCCAAAAATAAAAATATGTAAAATTTAAAATTGAATAAAATTATCTAAGGATTAGTAATTTAAATTTTCAAATGTTAGTTACTAATTTTTACATAATTAGTTTTCCTCTAATGCCGATCAAAAGATCCATTACTACCAGTCAATTTATACATATAATGTTGATTTTAAAACAAACCAAACTCATCAATTTGCATAAATTTTTAACGCTAATTTTAAAAATTTAAGTTACTAATTTTTGATAATGTTATTCTATTTTAAATTTTACATTTTAATTTTTTTAAAAA